CCAGCCTTCTAACAATCTTAACCAGACAGTGCTAAAGACCTAATAACAAACAGCACCAAGTGCAGGACTGGGGAACAGGCAAAGTAAAACAGCTATCCAGCACTCACACAAAGTGGGCACGGCCTATTCTGACGGCTGAACTCACTGCTGTGTGCTAAGTCCCAAGGAATGTAAAGGGACAGAGAAAACAGCGGGGCAGCCTACAGGAGACTTTGCCTCTGCAGAACACAAACCATCAGCTTTGGGAAAGCGTGTGGTGTTCACACAGCCTGTCCATGTGCAGCTCTCCCCTGCCCCCCACCCAACTGGGCTGGTTGAATTGGAGTGCACCAGATATAACCATGGGTAGGCCTTCTGAGTTAGCTCCCCCGTTTTTCAAGTCAGGAGCATTATGGAGCTTACCTGCAAATGTTACTTCTACTGCCTCTGGTTTATTTCTAAAAAGCAAAGACAACAAGAGAGGTAAGTGAGAAGTCAAACAGCAGTCCCCAGGTTGTGAAGGAAAGACGATTCATTTCATTTCTCACAAGCAGTTCTACCTGAAAACTCCTCTGGGCCCTGCCGTTCAAGCAGCAGATAACCTTTGACAGCTTGGGCTACTGCTCATTCCTAAAAGAATCAGTCTTAATAGAAATGAAATAAAACAGTCCTGGAAGCCGGCAGAGATTGCTGTTATTTGTAGTTTATTAATAGAATTTGAGACCACATACTGCAGATTTAGAGTTAGAAATGTCTGAGAAAGCTACTCATCACTAAGGAGCTGGTTTTAATAAGCCTGCTCTCCACGTACAACTGCTAAGATGCAAGTTCGCAGGACTGGCTCTTCTGCAAGTTCCACTGACACCAGGCAATGAAACAGACATAGTGGCTGAGCAATTCCTCCTTACATGCCCCCTTCACCACCAAGGGCAGCTCTACCAATGGTTTGACACAAACTACTTTTAGAGCAGACCCACCTCCAAGTAGGTCAACCGTCAGCAGAATTAAACTTTCTCGACGCACGTTTCACCTTGACACCCTATCCCTAAACACCCCAATGACCACTGCAGGAACAGTCCTAGATCTGGATTTGCCCACACACTCACGACTGTCTCAGGATCAGCAGCAAGAACATCCTGCAAGCCTAAGGCATACAGCCTCTCATGTTTTAGGTATGAAGATGTTATAAAATCTTATAGTTTAAGTGCCCTAGTCTACAACCTCTTGAAGAGCTGGATCCTGTGAACAATCAAATTGCATCCGAAAGGTGAATCTGTTGAGAACGGCACTACGTAAGTGCTTCAGCAGCTCCAAGAGGACTTATTAATAGGCCATCCTCCAAGAGGGACCAATGCAAAGCACGGAGAGCCAGGGTGGAAAATAAGAACAGGGTCAAAATGCCAATCAACTGCTTTATTTCACAGCCTACACCTCCTTATGTTTCAAAAGCAGCCAGTACAGAGTACAGGCTAATGATACTGGATCTGTTTTACAACCCAGAGAAATCTCAGCCTTCATTCACACCTACCTGAACCAACTGAGAGCGCTCCCCAGGTCCAGTTAGCCTTGAGTTTGCATCTACCCTAACCCAGAGACCAACTCCAACCTTATTTGGGTAGAAATGGAGGTGCTAGCCACCAACCAGAGATTGTAAGTGGAAAAGATGAGGTGTTGCTGCTTTTTGAGAGTTGTTACAGCTGTGAAAAGCAACAGCCCTTTTTGCTGGGAGACAGGAAAGCCTCTGTTTTTTTGTGCTGCATCACTGAAGAAAAAAAAACCACGCACTTGAAAGCAGCCCTGTGAGTGCACCCAGGGCAGGTCCTTTAGTTGGAGCCACACCAGTTACCTGGGACTTCTCTCACTCTTATCCTCCCTTCTTCCCTGTTGGCTGGAGAAGGAAGTTTGGAGCCTCCCCCACGGCACGTTTAACACTTGGTTTTGAAAAGGGGAGCATTTCCCCACGTTGCATCTAAGCTCACTGAGGATTGATGGAAGCAGAGGTGGAAGAAAATCCCACCGATATCATATGGTCAGCCGATGCAGACGTGTTCTTCTTTTAGAGCACCACACTCAGATTTAGGAATCGGCTTGGATGGCAATATACGTCTTATAAAAAAAGAAACCTATGTAGGAAGCTTTAAAGATAGCACAGTGAGGCACATAAGAGCTAGGAATATTGAAGAGGATGCACCCTAAAAGCTAAGTTCCATCGCTCAAACCCAATTCCACATGCACACAGAGCTGACAGCTGGCTCTCAGCAGTCCCTCCAAATACAGCACCTCACCCTGAGGAACTCACGGAAACAATTACAGACAGTGAGCAACAGCGACAGTAACTCAGGAGACAAGAGAAGGATAACTTGCCATGTTATTTAGGGAGCTGTAGCATCACAGACCCAAAGTTGGTTAATAGCTGTGTGCAAGAGCCTTTGTTCTGCACACAAAAGCTTACAGCAGCCATGACGTGACTCCTGCACGTGCCATTGCGCAAGCATGAATTTCTCAGAACTTATTTGTGCATGGATTTCCCAAGTGGCTCAGTCCTCATACTTGAGGATGGTGAAGTTTAAAGGAGAAGCAGGTAACTGAACAGAACTTCGGGGCCCTGAATATTCACCAGTTTGCCGGCACGCAACCTCACGGAGGAAGCGCTCACGTGAGCCGCATGCAGAGCTCCTCACAGCCACACCGACCCTGTGTGCTGCAGGATGCTCCTGCCTCGTGGGGCACACCTCTCCCCAGCCCCAGCCAGCCCAGGGGGACCCAAAAGTTTTACATGCTTCCATTTATTTCTCCGGCTCACCAAAACTATTCTTAAAACGTTAATGCAAGAGGGAAAAAGTCACCTCCTTCACCTCTATTAAGAAATACCCAGACAGAGAAGGAGCCTGAACCGTCACCCCAGTGCAGCAGAGGAGCTCTCGCGCCCTATTACCCTGCTGGGAGCTCCTTGAACCTGCACCACCCAATCTGCAGCCTCCCTCCATGACCAGTAACACCCACTCTCCCACCAGGAACAGCTGAAGATGGCTCCTCTCTCTGCTACACACCAAACCCAGACCTTTCTGCAACACCTTGCCTGAACTCTGCAGCTAAAATGGCAGCTGCTCCAAGTGCAGGCGGCTGCCCATTTTCTGATAACACTTATCAGGTTTGAAGTCAAATCCACACCAAATCCCAGCTGCTCCCTGCTTATAACAATAAGAGGCCTTAATGGGTTTTTATTCCTTCTTGCCTGCATTCTCCTTATTCATCTCCAAATGGCTCCTGCACCAAGTCCATCTAATACAAAGCCAGCTCCAAATCAGATTCATTTTTTCACCCCAGCAGTGGATCCAAGAAGAGCCACAGCACCCGTGGAGAGATGCCAACAAGCACTTAAGAGCAACAGCAAATCTTCTTTTTCTCCTGACAGCAGTTCCTCAATTTTGATTCGGACAACTTCCAAACTTCCCTGCCTTGTTCTCAGGCCACAGAGGCTCTCAGCCATATGTTACAACAAATTTAAGAACAGAAGAATGAAGGCTGTGTAATTATACAGAGCCCTCATCTTCTGCATTAAACAGACCTGCATGCAAATGCGAGCTTGGCCAGCAACCGCATCGATAGATGACTAAAGTAGCTCCCACATCACAATTAAGGTTTGTACCCAATAAAGGAAGATGGCAATTATTTTAAAAGCTGCAGGCATGCAGATACTCTAATATCTTGCTCCCGAGGAGGGGAAAAAAATGAAAGGAGCAGGGGATATTTCAAAGCTTCAAGCTTCCAGCTCTGAGCAGAACCTGCAGATCACTCAGTTGATGCACTGTTGGAAGAGAATGAGCCAGATTCAGTGACAGACTGCAGGCTCTCTCTACAGAAAGGTCACCCCAATAAAAAAAATTATGAGCAATGTCTGAAATTATCCAGGCAGTTCCTCCCCCCTCTGGGCCTCACTCAACTTACAAAAGCTACTTCGCGTGAGCTGCAAGCATGCATGAAATCAAAGAGCTCCCACAGCACGCCTGCTACAAACTTGAGAAGTGCTCTGCTGTGAGATAATGGCAGTCCCCACGTGTGCCCACCCACAGCATCGCTGGGAGCAGCGCTGGGACCTGCTGGGTTGTGCTGGGGACTTGCCACTGCTGGTGACAAGATGTCCAGCAGATAGGGCAGCATCCCACAGCTCCCACTGCCAGCACAGCAGCCAGTCCGCAGGCTCTGCTGATAGCTGCTCTTCTCTTGCACTAAGTGCAGCAGCTGCAGGAGGTACTGATGATCCTGCACCCAACCCCAGAGTGCAAACTCTGCCAGCAGCATCACCTGAGCGCTCCTGACCTGCTCCAGGCTGAGGGTTGGGCTTTCTGCAGATGCTGGGCTGTCCGTGCTCCTCCATCCTCTGTACTCTCCCCAGCTTCCCCACAAGGAACTCGCTCACAGGCCACATCACCAGCACAAAGGTCATGTCACCCACCTTCACCCAGCAGGGCCATAGCACTCTGCTCCAGAGCAGGCGAGCACCAAAGATGACCACAAATGGGAAATACCACAGAGCATGTGGGTGCAGTTTCAGCCAAACTCTCCAACCAGTCCACAGGAACTGGTTTACAGCAGAGAAGTTGAAGCTTCAGCTGTTTTCCCATTCAGCCAGCACTCACGAAACCCTGCAAATTTGTACCTATTAAAAGCTTTACAGAAACCTAACATTTAATGAGATATTTTTCCCTCCAACTCCAACCAAGGGAAAAGTCACACTGCTCTCCACTTATGCAAATTTTTCCTTTGCACAGCAGGTAAATGGAAAGTAACAATTTGAAACAGATGATGAATTTGCTGGCAGTTTAGGGCAAGCTATGTATGGCTGAAAAACCATAACCAGGAATACAAGCCCTCTGCCACACTTTTGCTGGAATCAGTTACATCAGAGCAGACCAACACCGGAGGGCAAGTCTGTTTTGGAAGGCAGTTCTCCATTGTGCTTTAGAAAGAACTGAACACAGAAGACAGAAAAAATAATAACCTATTTTAAATGTAAAATATTTCTATCTGTGCAGTTAGCAAAAGGAGACAAATAAGAGAAACAAGATCTTCCAACTGGCAGAGCTCACCTCCCAACACCTGAGCTTCCAGCCCAGGTCTGTTTCTTCCAGCTTCCAGGCAATTAGTCAAGTCAAAGAGAATTAGTCAAAAACTTACAGAAGAGCTTATTCTTTTGACACCTGCAGAAGCCCACCTCAAGTAACAAGCTGCCTGCCTCTAACACATCTGCTCTCAGGTTCTGACCAGGTATTCCCCCACATCAGCACTTTGACAGTCTAAGCTCTCAGCAGTCAATTCTTCACTAGAGGTATTTCAGCAGGTTCCGGTAGCTTTTGGACATTATTTAAAAATGTGGTTGGCTTAAGGAAGTTGATTTAAAACAAGAAATTACAGTCTTAAGAAATCCATTACCAAGCTCCCTTGATGTCTAGCGGTGGCTGTCCAAGATGATGAGATTTCCATGGGCTCTGAGCACAAACATTACATTTAGAAATGGCTCTGACTTCTAAGGGCCACCCAGCTCTACACACTATGGGGAAATGTGAAGCACTCCCACCTGAAGGTCTGGGGAAGCTCTGCAGGGAGCTGCTGGATCCATGGCACAGTCACAGCAGGAGAGGAAAGTGCTGCTGCTCACATCATGGAGCAAGTCTAGATAAATTGTGCATCACATCTCCCCAATTCAAGTTTCAGAGCAGATAACTCAGGGCCAGCTCTCAGCATCCAGACTTTCTCCTCTCAATCACGGAATCCCTTATGGTGCGTCCTTGCTCTGACCACCACGAGTCCATCCCCAGGACGCACCTTGGGTGGACAGTCAAATGCAAAGACAGTGAAATGCAGCAAATCCCCTCCTGCCTCCACGCTCAGTGCACGTCCTGACCCCGGAACCCTAACTGGATGGAAAAGAAATTTCTCATGAATAAACATGGCATAATATAGCACCTCTACCCAAAAAGACTTGTTCAGAGAAGTGGATTTCCATTTTTCTTAGTTTCATCTCTGACCTTCATCTATGTCGGGTTCTTGCCTGGACAGCACATACACAGAAGAAAATGCAGAAGTGAACTACTTCCTCCTCTCCAGCAACATACTGAGGGGACAACACTTGTCCAGAAAGAGCACCTAGCTGGTCCTCTATCCAAACAAAAGAAAGGACAGCCTGTAGAACAAGAGGCAGAAGCAGAATGTCATTGGCCATGCTCACAGCAAGAGGAATTGATCCAGGAAGGATTGGTATGCCAGGCAAGCACGCTGAGACAGTTAAAAGCTTTGCTGTACAGCAAAATGGAAACTCCATGGATTGGAAGTGAGCGAGCAACCTCAGCTCAAGCTGCACTGAGTCAGGGCTTTGAGGTGCATTCAATCTCCTGGTGGCTGCAGCCTCCACTTACTGCTGCTGCTCTTGTACTGATGCAAGGACACGCACACAGGCTCACACCAGCAGAATGCCTCCATACGAGCTTGTGGTGAATGAGTGTTTTTGACACACACTATTAACCTCCATATAGTTAAGTTTTTTCTAATGGATGCAGCTGCAGTGCCCAAGAGCTCTCTCCTCCCAGTGTGGTGCCAGTGCTTCGGGGATACTTGTTGCACTAAACGATCACATTCAAGAAGAATAAAGAGGCTGACAGCAGAGAGCAGCTTGGTGTTCCCACAAGGCAACACAGCCTAGGAGGTTATTGTATGAAATAAAAGAGCAAGAAGTCAACCAAGAGGAGAAAATGGAGGAAAAGGCCTTTCTCTAAGGTCTGCACACAAAAGGCAGAACACTTCAAAAGCCACTTGTGGAAAAGGTGACAAACAAAAAAGCCTCACTGGGGAGTCCCTTCCCAGAGCAGCTTAGGCTGTGCTGCTTGCAGAGCCAGGCTCCACCCCACAAACAATAGTGCTGTGCTTTGCTTCTCTAGACTTTGTCCACGCACAAAGGTGCACAGCACTACTCAGATGCAGCAAGTGCATGGTTGCAGATACGGGCATTCACATGAGGTGACTCTCCCAAGCTGGACTGCGCTCAGACAAGGGCCTTCATGGCTCTAGTGCATCTCTGTCAGTAACGCTCAGTGGCTCCCCAGGGGCTGCACTGTCCCAGCCAAAGATGCAGATGCAAATCAGCTGCCCTACAGCCTCCCCAAGGCCAAGAGGCTCACCAGCCCTACACTACTAGACAGAACACACGGGTCCCAGGTGGGGACAGCAGAAGATGCTGACAGGAAACTGCTCCCCACCCCCAAAGAAATAGGTCGAAGCTGCTGCTGTGCCACAAGTCACCTCCCTGTTCCTTCATTCCACACGAGTCCTGACACCACTCCGGACCTGTTCTGATGAAGGCTGCCAACACCTTCCAGCCCAACGGCCCACCCCAGCCCTCAACACCACAAGCTCCATCGCCCTCACGCAGTCCCAGCCCTCAGCACCCCATCAAGCCCTGCCTCAAGCAGCCTCCCATTCATCCACCCTAGCCTTACAGCTCCGCCAGCTCGGCCCCCCTCCACCCCGTGCCACAGCCCCTTTCCTCCCCTCCCGGCCCCATCCCGCCCTGTCACTGCCCCTGGCACCACCCTATCCCACGCCGCCCTTCTCCCCGCCTAGCCCTACCATGCCTCACGCCCAGGGCCAAGCCTCGGTACCACCCCGCCCGCCCAGGCCTCTCACACGGCCCCGCGCTCCCTGCCCCGCTCCCCTCTCTCAGGCCTCGCCAGGCCGGAAGGCTTCCTCCTCCGCCCCGCCCCGGCCCCATTCACCGGCCCGGCGCCCGGCCCTACCCGGCGGCCGCGCCCTCGAACTTCAGCGTGAGGGTCTCCTCGATGATGCGGTTGTTCACCTCGAGCAGGATCATGTCGGTGCCGGGGATGGGGAACGGCTCTCAGCGCGCCGAGGCCGGAGGGAGCCGAGCCCGCTGCGCGCACCGGGGACCCGCCCGAGCCTGCGCCGCCGCTTCCGCTCTCGCGCCCGCGCGTCACTTCCGGCCCGGCTGCCGCGGAGCCGGGCGGTGGCGGCGGTGATGGCGCATGCACGAAGGCCGCCGGTCTTGTCTCGGCCCCGGTGACGTCACTCGCTGCCCCCGCCTACCTCCCGGGGGGGCGGGACCGTGCTGGGTGGGCGGGGAGAGCAAATGCGGGGTGCCGCCGGGGAGTCGTGGGGTGCGCGGGGAAGGGGGGTTGGGAGGAGCCAAATGGAGGCCAAAGCTGAGGGGTGCTCAGGGAATGGGGGTCCTCGCAGCCTGGGGGTGCCCTCGGGGGGGTGGGGTGCTGCAGGGGCCCCAAAAATGTAGGAGGAGACAGGGTGCCCTGGAATATGGGGTGCCTGTATGTGCGATGATGCCACAGGGATACGGAGCCCCAAAAGCGGCACCCCAGCCAGCTCCCTGCTGCTGTGGTGTCACTGACAATGTGAGAGTGGCCCAGAATAATATGGGGGTGTCCCCGGAGTACAGGAGCATCCACAGGGTGGAGTGAAGCCCCACGGCTATCAGAGTCCCACAGACAGGCGGCACCACATGCATCCTGGGTGTGGCGTGCCCTGGGCTGGGGGTGCTGGGAAGGTGCCCCCTTGACTGCCGCTTCCTCTTCGCACTGCAGAAGGTTTTGCAACCTTGCTTCCTTCCTGCGCTGCATAAAGCGGCGGTGTCAGCTCTGGATCAGGGTCACTTAGCACAGGTGTGGGACCCGGTGGCAGCAGTGGGTCCACGTCCCCGCGCTCCCCAGGGGCTCTGTTTTGGGGTGACGGCAGGGGACATCCTGTGGCAACCCTCAGCCAGGCCTTGGAGCAGCCAAATCTGGGAGCTGGGAAGGGGAGAAGATTTGGGGTGCAGCAGAGGCAGCGAGTGGCGGGTGAGTGCCTGGGATGCTTAGCTTTGGGGTGCAATGGGGCACCCTACTAACCTGGACAAGGGGTGCAGGGAGGGCTCCGCATAGTGTAAACCCAACTCCACGTAGGGTAACCCCAACCCTGGGGGGATCCGGTATCCCCATATAGTTCTCTGTGTGGGATTGGGAGAGGAAATGGGGACTTCCCCTTCTGTGGGCAGAAATCTGGCCCCAGAGGAACTGCAAGGAATTTGGGTGGGAAATCAGAAGAAGCCAAAAATACAGTGGGGAGAAGTGTTTTTCCTCTGCTCCGGGTACTGTGGTGCACTCGGGGAGCTGGCATGGGAACTGTTTTTAGGGACAGCATTGGGATTCAAAGGACTCATACCAACCAGGGGGACTCAGAAGTGCTCCTTCATTGGGGATAGACTTGGAGGGGACAGGAGAGGGGCAGTGCTGAGGTGAAGGGGTGCGTATGGGGCTGTTGGGCACGGGGACGTGTGGGGGTGGTGTCCAGGCATGGTTCACTGTATGGTGCAGTGAGGTTATGGGGTGTGGGAGAGCAGTGGGAGCTGGAGGTGCAGGAGGTGCCCTGAGCCCACACTGCTTTGTGCTTTGCAGGCAAAATGGGGACATTTTATGCTGACGACCTCTTTGACATCTTATACAACTACACTTCTGACTATGGCAACTACAGCCTGGCTTTGCCTGACATCGATGGCTCCTCTTCCCCATGCCGTAATGAAGGCTCCGTAGCCAACAAATACTTGGTAGCCTTCATCTACTGCTTGGTCTTCCTCCTCAGCATGGTGGGCAATGGGCTGGTGGTGCTGGTGGTCACCTCCAGCCACATGAATCGCTCCGTCACCGACATCTACCTGCTCAACCTGGCTGTGGCCGACCTGCTCTTTGCTCTCAGCCTGCCGCTCTGGGCCGCCTACTGGGCCCACGAGTGGGTTTTTGGCACCGTCATGTGCAAAGCCATCTCGGTGCTGCAGGAATCCAACTTCTACAGCGGCATCCTGCTGTTGGCTTGCATCAGCGTGGACCGCTACTTGGCCATCGTCTACGCCACCCGTGCTGTCACCGAGAAGAGGCACTGGGTGAAGTTTGTCTGTGTGGGCATCTGGGTGTTTTCGGTGCTGCTCTCCCTGCCCGTGCTGCTGTTCCGCGAGGCGTTTGTCTCAGACCGCAATGGCACGGTTTGCTACGAGCGCATTGGCAATGAGAATACCACCAAGTGGAGGGTGGTGCTGCGGGTGCTGCCGCAGACCTTCGGCTTCGCCCTGCCCCTCCTGGTCATGCTCTTCTGCTATGGTGTCACCGTGCACACCCTCCTGCAGACCAAGAACGTCCAGAAGCAGCGTGCCATGAAGGTCATCCTAGCTGTGGTGCTGGTCTTCCTTGTCTGCTGGCTGCCCTATAACATCACGCTGGTGAGCGACACTCTCATGAGGACGCATGCCATCACCGAGACCTGTGAGAGGAGGAAACACATCGACACAGCCCTCTCCATCACGCAGGTCCTTGGTTTTGCCCACAGTTGCATTAACCCCATCATCTATGCCTTCATCGGGCAGAAGTTTCGCAATAGCTTCCTCAAGATCCTGGCACAGCGCGGCTTCATCAGCAAGGATGCTGTGGCACGCTACGGCCGCACCTCCTACACTTCCACCTCTGGCAACACCTCCACCACCCTCTGAGCTCCACTGCTCCCCAAGACCTGGTGCATGCAGTCCTGGCACCCAACACACCCCAGCGTCCTAACCGAAGACACAGCCTTGGGCAGTAGGCACGGCCCCTTGGCACACAGATGGGTGTTACTGTGGGCTGCACATGGTCACACTGCACATGCAAAGGCACATCAGCATGGGGGGTCCCAATGGAAAGATGCTGAACACTGCCCACTCTCCCTGCGCTTTGGGATAAAGCTTGTGACTTTGAGGACATCACGGCCCCGGTGTGGCAATGATAGCTGCCCAGCAATAAAGGAGGTGGCAAGTTTTTCCACACTTGTATGGCTCTGACTGGGGGGTGACAGGAGGAGTTGGGGCACGTCCCCAGGGCACTTCTCAGCCACGGCACTTCCTGGGGACAGTGAGTGCAGGAAAGTGCTGTTACCCAAGAGGCTGTTGCAGAGGGTTTGCATCCTGCACATCCCTCAAGGGGACCACAACCTGGCGTCACTCTGTGCCACCGAGTCCTTCCCTAGCGTGGGGTCACTGTGTCATCCCTGCACACCTGGGAACATGGCTTCGGTCAAACTCTCACCACCCCCTTCCCAGTACCCATTTGAACTCAAATAAAGCAAATCCCTGCAAAATCCTTTAGTGGCTGTTCCCTGTCCTTGGTGACGCTGAGCTAGCCCTGTCTCCCCCCTGCAATCCACAAAGGTGGTAGCATCTGGGACACCCCCTGCCCACAGCGCTGCGTTGTGCAAAGAGTCAGGAACCTGCCCCTTACACAACCAGGATGGGGCAGAGGGAGATTTCCGCACTGGCTTGGGCAACTGGGGCTGGTACCAGAGCAAAGAGGGGCTTGTGGCCCAGCTTGGGTCCCTCCTGCCACCTCATATGTGATCTGACATCATGGTCCCTGTCCCAGCGTCCCCCAGCATTTCTCTATTGGGGTCCCACTCCACTCCTCTGTCATCCATAACACAGCTTCCTGGGATCCTTAATCCTAAAGATATCAGAGAAGTGTGGGATAGAGGTGAGGCTGGGAACAGGATATGAAGGTTCCTGGCACTGAGGGAGGAGGAATTGAGTTGGACAGAGACAGCAGGGGGCTTGCACGGAAGCAAAGCAGCAGATCAGGGCCAGCCCATCACCTTTATGTCTGGGAAAGGTCTTGCTCAAGCGGTGCCTGGCAGGAAACCAAGGCTGTTGGCTAAGAGCCCTCTCCCCTTGCATACTCCCTGCGTCAGGATGGGGTGAAGCCTGTCCTCGGCAGAGACACCCCATAAACAGACAGTCCCCCCAAGGAGGGCTCACACTTCCCCATAGCAGCATGCCCATTGCCAATGCCCCTCAGGGCATCAAAGCAGCAATGACGGATTGATGACACTGGAGCCACTGGGATGTCAGCACCGGGTTGTTTCTTTCTCCATGGGCCAGCCATGCAAAAGACATGACAACCTGAAAACCAGAGCAGCAGGACCTACCCGCCGGCCCCATGTCCCAGGCACAGCAGGTTGAATGTCCTCCCAGCTCACATAGCCTGTGGGTGCCTTTGCTGGTAGCAGAGCAGGCAGCATCGCCCCTGCTTCCCCATGTCCACGGAGCACGCGTGGCACACCTTGCCCTGGCACAGCCTGCTGAGAGAGCAGATGGTAGGTGTGTGGTGGTGGTTGGTATCCCTGCTATGTTCCCCGGTGTCTTCCCATGCCCACCTGCAGCTGTACCGTCGGGACAGGAGGCGAAAATCCTTGCCACAGCGGGCGCACAGCCCCACATCACGGGGCGCTGGGCTGGGTGCTGGTGGGTCAATGCCCTCTGTCTTCTGCCACAGGGCATCCTTCTCCCTGCAAGGAGGGGATGGGTCACCCTTGGTGAGATACTGGGCCACTGCAAGTGGGTTGCATGTGTGATCAGTATGTGTGTGTGCGCTCCTGTGTTTGACAGGCTCCATGCAACAGCCCCTCTGCAGCTGCTGGCTGTGCCCAGATTTATCCCATAAATCCCATAAACACACATATGACAGTGTGTCCCTGCTGTTGTCTCTGCACTGCTCATGCAGTGTGAGGTGTCTGGGAACACAGTCTGATGTGAGTGACCTAAGGTTGGCACCGAAGTTGGGCACCCAAGATGGGCACCGAACCTCCCCAAGGTGGCAAGTGGGATTTCCCTGGGCTTTGGTGCCCTCCTCTGGGCAAACAGCTTTGGGAGCAATCGTGTATGTGTGGCTGCATACCCACTGGAGGGGGGTGGCAGAATGTATACAAAGGGCAGGTGAGGGGGCAGGGCCCTGCTCTCACCGCAGCAGTTCCAGCAGCCGCCCCTTCATGTCGCGGATGAGCTCCTGCTGCCGTGCCTGCTCTGCGCCACGCATGGCCTCCCGCTCCTGCACCTCCCGCTGCGTCCGCTGCAGGGCTGATGCCCAGCGCTCCCCGTCCTGACGAGCCCTGGCATTGGGGCAGGTGTGGCACCTTTGAGCCCAGCCCCAGGGTGGCAGTGGGGAGAAGGTCTGCCTGTCCCTCTGGTGGCCACTTCTCCATCCATTCCTAAAGCCATCCACTGTCCATCCTCACAGCCATCTTAACATCCACCCTAGCTGTCCATCCATCCTTCCCCAAAGCCATCCCTTTGTCTTTCTGCCCATCCATCCCTTCATCCATCCCTTCATCCATTCCTTCATCCATCCCTTCATCCATCCCTTCATCCATCCCTTCATCCATCCCTTCATCCATCCCTTCATCCATCCATCCATCCATCCATCCATCCATCCATCCATCCATCCATCCATCCATCCATCATCCTCTCCATCTGCTCACCCAATCTTCATCCCTTCATCCCTCTGCTTACCCATCCAATCACCCCAAATCACCCTATCTCCCCCTCCATCTGCTCACCCAGATTAATTCCCATATCCCTCTGCCCACTGATGCATCCATTCTTTCACCTACTCATCAATCCCCAAACTTCTATCTGCTTCCCTTCCCAACTCCATCTCTCCCTCTCCACATCTCTCTCCCTGCCCATCCCCTGGCTCAAAGTGGGGCACCAAGGGTAACCCCTGCAGCACGTAGGGCACCCTGCAGTTTGTCCCGTCCCCACCTGCTGAGCTGCTCCTGCAGCCGCACCACCTCCTCCTGCAGGGCCTGGATCTGCTGCCTGCTCTGCAAGGCTTCCTCCCGTGTTGCTGTGACCAGGGCCGTGAGTCGCTGGGGGATAAGCAGGGCTCAGGCCTCTTAGACCCACATCCCACAGTGGGACACCCCATGGCTCGCCCGTACCATTGCCATGCCAGCAGCCGTGCTGGGGTCCCCCTCTTCCTGATTGTCCATCAGTGGGTCATGGGAGAGCTCCAGTGCCCGCCGCAGCACCTCCTCCAGGGCGGCCATCTGGGCTGGGGCATCTGTTTGTCCCCGTGCCTGCATTGCAGCCTGGCACTCCTGCAGGCGCGAGGTCAGCATTGCCACCTCTGCCATTGCCTCGTCCAGGCGTGCTGCCCGCTCCTCCGCCACCTCCCGCCACCGCCGAGCCTCCTCCTGCGCCTGTGCCAGCCCCCCCGGGCCACCCGCCGCCTCGGCCAGCGTTCGGCTGAGGAAGGCGTTGGTGTCCCGCAGCGCCTCGGCCTCAAGGGCCCACAGCCGGACCTGCCGGGCGCTGCGCTCCTCTTTCTGCCGGTGCTGCCGCTCCTCCCGTTCCAGCTGGGCACGCCAGGCCTCCTCCTGCCGCCCCAGCTCGGCACGCAGCTGAGACACCTGTGCTCGCAGGGATGCCTCCATCGCACTATGGGCTGGGGAGCCGGGTGTGAGCCCCGGGTCGGGTGTTGGGGTCGGGCTGGGATCCGCGTTGGTGCTACACTGTGCTTCAGCAGTGCTGGGCATGTCCTCCTCCTTTTCGTTGTCCTCCTCCTTTTCGTTGTCCTCCGTGTCTTCCTCTCCATTCTCTTCTGCTTCCACATCATCTTCCTCCTCACCCTCTGCCCGTGGGCTGGGACAGGCTGGCATCCCATGGGGCACTGCAACTGGCTGGGCGATGCCATCAGGACATCTATGTACCCCCGTGCTGCTACCTTCTGTCTGCAGGGTCATCTTCAGCACACTGGGCCGCACCAGTGTCCTAGAGGGGACATGGGGCTCAGGGCCACCAAGGCAGCGATGTTGAGCTCCAGGTGTCCCCATTCTCTCTGGCATCCCCCCATGTGCCCAGCACTCACTCAGAGAACATGGGCCAGGCAGTGTCCAGGTCAGCCCTGTGCAGGGCCAGGTGGAAGGAGATGCCATCCAGCTCGTACAGGCTGCCCAGTATCTCAGCCCGCCGCTGGGGACTCAGGAAGGGGCTGCGGGCGTAGTACCACTCACTGCAACCAAATAGAATCTCACACATCCTCTTTGAGCACACAGAGCAGGGAGCCATGCCTTGCAGTGGCACAGCCAACCCTGTGCTCCCCATGCTCTCACCTCAGGCTCTCGGGGTCGAGGAGGCAGAGTTGCAGGGACTCGGCTAGCTGCCGGTGCACCAGGCAGTAGCGCAGGAAGGCACGGCCTCTGCCCACAGGGGTCTTCAGCTGGAGGGAAGCAGGGGTGATGCAGCACTGCCATGCCAACCTGCACCCCCAGCACAGCCCATGCACTGTGCATCCAGCGTCTGTGACCATGCCCACCCAGTGGGTGCCCTGTGAGCCCCCTCCACTGGCCCGTGCCCACCTTGTCCAGCGAGGTGACGAAGCGGATGCCCTCGTGCTCCTGCCGACGCTGTGCCAGGCCCTGGCACAAGAAGTCCCAGTAGTCCTTGCGCTGCCCAAAAAAGCTCTTCTTCTCCTTGAGATCAAACTGGAAGAGACACAGGCTTATTAGGAGGGTACCTGTGCTGCCCAGCCTGTCTCTGTGGTACTCAGCTGGCTTCCCCAGTCGAACCCCACATGTCTGGGGACAGCTCCGTTTGCTGGCTTTGTGCCTCAGTTTCCCCTCTTGTTGCACACACCACAACAAATGCTCCACATATGGGTGCAGGAGAGGCCAATCCTCATGCCCACCCACCTGTATGGCTGGGGATGCCCACAAACAGATGACATCATCCAGGGTTCCCCAGAATGCTTGGCATGAGGACCCTCTACTACCAGCGCCCCCCAGGGGGGGGAGTACCTGCAGGAGGAATTCCAGCTGGGCACAGAGGCTGTGCAGCTCCCGGCTGCCATCCGTCACCGGCAGGTTCTGCTCCCTGTAGCTGCGATTCAGCTCAGCAATGGTTTCTGCAGGGCAACAGGGATGAGCTGGCACGGCTCGGGCAGTCTGCCCAGCCCCACGTCCTCCCTGCTTCCAGCTCGGGGATTTCTGCCCGAGGGCAAAAGAGGAACCGGCGGAGGGATGGAGAGGCGGAGCGGCGGGAGCAAGGGGCACAGACAGCGGTGGCTGTGGGGTGGTTTGAGGGTGCCCGTGGGGACACACTGGCACGGGGCATGCCGGCACACTTACTCTGCAGGTCCTTGATGACACGTCTGAGCTCCCCGTCCCCTGCCATGGCTCCAGCTCTGGACCTCTGCAAAGGCAGGGGCACCCATTAGAGGTGCTGAGCTGGCTTGTACCACTGCACCCCCAAATTCCAGCTTGGCCTCCCACTGCCCCACTGATGGAGACTTTTACTCCCCTGGCTCTACACTGGGGCTGCTTTCTGCTAAGGTAAGAAGGGGGGTGGGCTCAGGCACCCCTTTCCATGCCCACGCCACCCCATTCATATGGGGCATTGAATGGGCGAAGGTGCTCCACCATGTGCCCATTTGCTGTCCATTTGCCTTGATCCAAAATGCCCATGGGCTCTGCCCCATGGCATGGCCAGCTCATCCCAAGCTTCTGCCCCATTCCTCAGATGCTACAGGGACTGAGCCCCCCACCCTGTCCCCATCCCTATTCCCAACTCCCTCCCCTAGTATTCAGGATGTGGGTATAGCATGGGGGAAGCACTGCTTTTGTTTCTGCTCTCGCTTCCCTTGCTCACCTCAAGATCAGTGCATGGGGCCCCTGATTCCCCTTCCCTTGTCAGGAAGAGAGGGCACAGGGCCCACAGCATGCAGACCCTCAAAATGAGTCCCCTGCTGGACAGAGTCCCCCTGGCACAGCGTGCTGCCTGCAGGGGTGGCATGGCATTTGGGAGTGTGGTAGACTTGCTGTGGGGGGCATAGAGCTGGGGGGTGGCACCAAGGGGACAAGACGAGGAGCAGTGCCCACAGGGGTAGCACATCTGCAGGGCTAGTCGCTACAGGTGGTGGCTGGCCATGGCAGGGAGGGACAGCAGGACGCCTGGTTTCCCATCCCAGTGCCCTTGGGTGCCCTTGGATGTGTGTTCTCTTCCGCCTGCCCTGCCCACGCCTATGCCTATGCCTATGGCCATGCCCATGCTTCAGTTCTCCCTGGACAGAACTGCCCCTTACCTGAAGAGCTGTGGGTGCCCTGAGGTGCTGCTGGGTGCTGCTCTCCTCTTACTGCTCCACACGCCCACACTCCTTCTCCTTTTGTACCTTGGCCAGGAGGAAGTGCTCAGGATGGGAGCGGCTGAGTCCCCTCCATGCCCCACACAGCCCCATATTTCTGCCCCACCTGCCTCAGCTCCCAGGTTTTGGGGTGCTGAGTTGATGGGTGCTCCCTTTACCAAGCCCTCCTGCCTGGTGTTCTGGAGTGGGGAAAGCACATTGCCAGGCCTGGAGGGACCCCAATCCTTCCCATGGCAAGGGGGGCACATGGTTTGGGAATGCTTTGAGTGTCACCCTTCTGCTTCTGGGGAGGGGGCTGAGGAACCATGTTGAGTTCAGGGAAGTCACAAGAGCTGCCACCTCCCTTGGCAAAATGACACCACACCACCCCCCAAAAGACCCCAGGAGCAATATCCCTTGGTTACAGAGCCCTGTTGGGAGAAGCAGTGCTCCACAGAAGGCCCACAGCCCCCCTACATCCTGTCCTCTGCCCCAGCCCCCCATACCCCTACCTTTAACGCCGGGGGGGGGCCGGGAGAACAACCACCCCCATCCAGGGCCTGAGCTCGGCAGCAAAGTGAAAGCAGGAAGTGGTGCTCAGTGGGGGCTGGCCGCTTTTCTGATGAGTGTCAGGATGTGAAGTGCCCCCCTTTGCCCCCATCACCCCACATCACCCTGCAAGGTTGCACCCCACACTGGGGGGGTCAAGAGCTGTGTGGATGGATGCACACGTGTGTGCCATGGTCCCCCCAGCAGCATCCCATCCCCAGCTCCCCTTCTCCTGGAGTGCCACCCAGTAGCAGTGTCCCTGTCCCTGAGGGGGTGTGCTGGTGGGCCGTGGGGGGGGGGGGGCACACATTACCCGCCCGCCCTTGGCGCGGGTGCAATTCAATTAACGAGGCCTGGCCCGTGCTCAGTGCAGCCAATAACGCTAATGGCCCTGCACAGGCCTGGCTCTGCACAGCGGGGGGGTTCAGGGGCCATCTGCTAATTAATTAAAAGGGGGTGGGGGACAGTGCAGCCAGTAGTGATGTCACCTCCCTGCTGCTTGGGGCATGGGGCTGTGCCCTGTTCCCCCCCCTCCCCCGCTCCCAAAATCATCCCTCTGCCCACCCTGGGGCACATAGAGGACTCCCCAAGTCCCTTCCCATCTGCCCCTGCCACGGGGTTTGAGGGTCTTGGGGCCAGGGGGGGGGCCTGAATGATGGCAGGGACCTCCCCTCCTGTGGCTTGGGGAGAACCATAGGGAAATTGAGGCACAGCTGAGTGCACAGAGGAGGCTGCGCTCAAAGAGCTTTACAGCTCTCACACATCTACAAGACAAGTGGCTGGGGGGGCACTGCCAGCATCCAGCACCCACCCCATAGAAGGACCTGGTGCGTGCAGAGGGGCTGACAAAAACACGAGGTGGGGGGGTTAATCCAGACGTGAGGGGGGCGACGGGGAGGAGGAGGAGGAAGGGGAGGAGGAGGAGGAGAAGGAGAAGGAGAAGGAGGGGGAACGTGGCGGAGCTGGCTCCCTCCCAAGCACTGCAGGACATGGGCGGGCACGGTGCTCCCTGCCTGGCTGCCAGCGCGCAGGCGACACTGGGGGACCAGCAAGGGGGGGGGCAGGGCCTGGTGGGACCGCAGCCCCCAGCCCATTGCCGCACAGTCCCGTGCCTATTGCTGGGCACCTCCCGGGCACCGCAGCCCGGTACAGCCGGGGGGCACAGCCGGGTTTGGCTGGCTCCCCGCTGCCATCAGTGCCCCCTCGTGGGCTGGGTGACCCCTGCGCAGGGGCACCATGACCCGCCTGAGCTGGTGCTTTGCCACCTTGGTTCGCTGGGGGAAATACCTGGTATCCTGCCTCCTGCCCTGCCGCGCCTGCCGGCACACTGAGGTAAGCGGTGCCACGAGTGCACGGTGCCCCGGGTCGTGGTGGGGGCTGCAGGGGGAGCTGGGGAGGACTCTGGGGGTGCACAGAGACGGGGTGGGGTGGGGGTGGGGGGGCAGTTGGCTGTAGGCATCAAGGGGTTAAACTGTGTGTGTGCGTATGTGTGTGTGTGTGTGTGTGTGTGTGTGTGCACAGGGGCTGGGGGCATGTCCTTTGTCCCTCCTTGTGTCTCTCCTGGCACAGCACTGTGACACCCCCCCCCCCCCCCGCTTTATAACCTGCATCCCTGTGCGCCTGGCTTGTGCTCTGGGATCCCTCTGTCCTTACAGCACCTAGAATGAGGGAACCTCGTGCATGCTGTGAGGAGAACCTATGAAGCAACCAGCACTGGGGGGGTCCCCATTCCCGCACAATGCCAGGTGTGCTCAACATCCCTGTCCTCAGCAAAGTGCCCTGTGCCTAAGGGCAACCAATGCGTGCAGAATCCCTGTGCCAAAAGATCACCCCATGTGGGGCATCCATGTCCCCACTATCACCCAGTGGAGGACACCTGTGCCCACACAGCACCCTGTCCTCATCGTTGTGTTACCCTTCTGTGCCCCTGCATGGAGTGTATGTGTGAGCTTGTTGCTGTGGGATGCCCATGTGGGCACGCATGGGACACGTGGCATACACCTATGTGTGTGTGCAAGATGGGCACCCAAGGGCAGTGTGGGGGCACTGCTGCTGGAAGCAGGTGGGGGTGGCTTGGGGACACAGTGGCCGTGGGCAGGACCCCACCAATGATACACTTATGCTACCCTTATGCATGGAAGGGGGTGTGAGCATGGGGTGTGCCTGCCTCACTGGTACACACAGGGGGATTCTCTGTGTAGTGCCCCCCGCTAGGAAAATGAACCCTAAATCATGCTGACAGGCAGTGTCTCCATGCCCCCCTCTCCCCCTTGCCCTCGCTGCATGCCCCCTGTCCCTGCCCTTATGCAGGTCCCAGGCTTGTCCCGGCGCTGAATGGGACGCCGTGATTTATGGGGGGCGGGGACCCCGTTTTCCCCAGGGGCTTTCATTTGCGGGCAACAACGAGAGGCTGTACTAAAGGAGAGGGGTGTGGGGGGATGTGTGTACGGACAGGCGCTCCCCGCTGTCTCCATCCCTTGCCCTGCGTGTCCCCTACCGTCCTGACTCACCCCCCCGTGCTGCCACCCGCCTGAGCGCAAGGCTGCGGGACTCACCGCCGGCCTCCTCCCCCCGCGGCTGCGGGGAGGTGCCGCGCAGCACCCGAATCCCACCCTATAGAGCTGAGGGGCTGCCCAGCCGTTTCCCGTCCTGCCCCCCCTGCGAGGCCCCCAGCTCGGCGCAGCTTTGGCACAGCGCTGCTCCCTCCCCGGCTCTCCCATCCCGGGACCACCCAGGGGACAATCGCCCCCCCCACCCCCCCACTCCGCCGCCACCGCAGCCTTTTGGGAAGGGGGAGTGGGGGTCTCGCTGCTAGCCCCCCCCAGGGCTCCGCGGTGGGTGCTGCTGGGGGTTGCTCCGGGAGGGCGCTGCCCCCTCTTTGTCCCCCAGCTATATGGGGGCCGGGGGGGGGGGGTTTGGGGCCGGGGTTGGGGGGGTCGGGGGCGGGCCGGGCGGGCGGAGCGAGCGGGACGGCTGCGGGCGGTGCGGCGGGGCTGCGGGGCAGCATGACCGGGCTGTGCCTCTCCTGCCTGCTCTGGGTACGGCTCCGGGACCAGGGGCGCAGGGTGGGGAGTGCTGTCGCGGGGAGGGGGGGGGCAGGGAGCAGCGGCGGTGGTGGAGCGGGAGCGGGTCGGGAAAAGCGGGACAGAGCGCTGCGCTGGCGCTGGGACCCCAGTCCCCCGCTACACCGAGCGGTGGGGGCGGCCCGGGGGTGGGGGCATCCGGTGAGCGGCTAGGGCTGAGGGGGGGGGGGGGGGGGGAACAGCCCGGGGACTGCGTGGCGGTGGGGAGCGGGCGGTGGGGGGGGCGAAGGACGCTGGGCTGGATGAGGAGGGGGTCTCCGAGGGGGTGTTGTTGGGACTGGGGGCTGTTTCTCCGTTATGACCATCCGGGATTCCACTGCGGTCCTCGTAGTCCGCTGTCCCTCGGCACTGGGAGGCGGGGAACCGGGCAGACTGGGAGCTGCAGGGGAATGCTAGGGGCTTGCGGCTCTGAGCCCCCACCCTCCGGGCCATCTGTGCTCCGGGGTCCCCCATGCTCCGGGCTGGGACCCCGGTGCCCAACCCCCTCTCCCCCCAGCCCCGTTTTGCAGCCCCAGCAGAAGTGGATGGAGCAAGCGGGTGCCCCGATCACCCAGGGGGAGGCAGCCCCCCCCTCCGGCCCGCACCTCTCTGCAGTGCTGGGCAGTGAACCCAGGAGTCCATGCAGCTGGCACCTCTCCCCGGGGCCTCATCCAGCCCATGGGGCCCCTCCCAGCATCCCTGGGTCCCTCTGCTTTGGGGGCCGTGGGTAGGGTTGTCTATCCTGTCTTCTCCTCCCCCCCCCACTCCCACCATCTCCTCTGTTTGGTGACATGGGTCTCAAGGTGACATCCCCAGACGGTCCTTACCCCCCATAAGTGCCCCCCAGCCCTGGGGACAGGGATGATGCTCAGATCCTGCCAGCTAGAGGCCGGATCCCGTACGTTCCATGGGTTGGTGACACCCCCACCGGCGTGTTGGCAATGTGACAAATGGAGGGGGTCTCCATGGGGTGGGAACAGAAGGGGCTGCGCTTTCCCTAATGAGGATAATTACCGTTAACAAAGCAGAGCTGGGGCTGAGGTGGAGATGTGCATGCGGGATACACATTGGAATCCCCGGGGGGTCCCTGGGAGCAGGGGGCACTACCTCTTCCCGGGACACCCTGCAGCGTGGGGGGGAGGAGGGAGGGGGCTGCTTTGCATATGCAAACGAGCTCATGGCATCGGGAGGCCTCGCTGTCACCCAGCAACTGTGGCGTGGGAGCCCCAGCCGGGGGAGCACTGAGCCCAGGGGCTTGGGCAGCCATGGGGGGACTTATCTGCTAGGGAGGATGTCCATAGAATGCACAAGGTGCACTCACACACATATGCATGGCCCTTGTGCCCCCACCTTATGTCCCCATGTGCGTATTGGGCAAACTGGGAAAACTGGGGCAGGAGGGGGTGGTACCCACACTGGGGTGCTCCCTGCAGTGCTGGCCCAGAGGGAGTGCAGGGTTTGCGGGGCCTCTGCTTAATCCTATTAGTCCTGGCTTGAAAAGGCGTATTTGTGGCTCTCACATCTTCATCGGATGGTGGGTGGGTGGGCATGGCTGGCGCGCTGCCATGGATGTCCCCTCTCTCAGTCTGGGATGTCCCCCTTATATGGCATCCCAGATCCGTGCCAGCATCCTTGTTTCCTGCTGTCTCCATGTCCTGCTGTCCCCATACCCGCACTCACAGCTCCCTTGGGCTATAGTGGGCAGTGTGGCCATGGGGACACTTCCCTAAATGTGCCTCCCTCCTCCCCTCCCATGTCCCTGCCCAGCGCACATCCACAGCACAGCTTTACACCACGGTGCCCACTGCACGCACACCGATGGTGTGTGTGCATGCTTGGGTGTGCACGTGCACACACGTTTGTATGTGCACACTCACTGTGCTTGCATGCCAGTTTGCACAAGCTTCTTGATGCATTCAGACGTGCTCACACACGTGAGCAGACCTGCAGACATGCACTCGTGCGCTTGCACACACCCC